CCCGAGCCGCGGGTGGCCTCCCCCCGAGCCGCGGGTGGCCTCCCCCCGAGCCGCGGGTTACCTCTGTTATGGTACAGCCAAAAATATATTTTTGGCTTCTTGTCGGAAGACATTTGGAAAGTCAATGTATTTCTTTTACTGGATACAGTCTAGAAGCTAATAATCAATTTACATAACTTTTTAGCTGTCCAGTGTTAGTTCCAACAGATGTGGGTTTGTTGTGCTTCCCCAGCAGGGACCACAAAGCAGTGTATGTCCTTCCTGGAAGTTGCAGATAAATTGTCACCTCACCTCTGTATTTCAATGTTCAGAATGTCTAAAAATAAAGTTCATCTCTCATAACTCCTGACCCATACATCACATGATCGTAGAACCTTCAGGGAAAGGACGGTGGCACAAAGGTGAGCTGCCTGATACCAAACACGGGGGATTTATCATACAGCATTGAGAAGTTCTGATAATTGGGTCTCTTTATGGTATGCCTGGTTCTGATAGCCGTACAGTGCTGGAGTTTGGACCCTGCACATAGCGGAACAGTAGCAGGACCCAGAACCATCACTTTCGGATCCATAATTCATAACTGGAAACGGTTATGAGGGTTCAAAGATGGTCAATAGAGACCCAGATGTCGTTATTCAGTCTCCCGCCCCTTCCATCTGATTGGCTGATCCCAGGGGGTGGGAACTGGTTTTGATCTTCACAGTATAATAATGGAGATCTGAAACCAACAAATTGTCACATTCAAGGGGTCCATTCACATGGGGGTGTGTCCACACCTTCCTATCCAACCCCGGAAGCAGGATTATTCCTCATTTTCTGTAACTTTTATGTTCATACTGTTTGTGTGTGTGTGTGTGTCTCATTGTGTTTGCTTGTGTGTGTGTGTGTGTCTCATTGTGTTTGCGTGTGTGTCTCGTTGTGTTTGGGTGTGTGTCTCATTGTGTTTGCATGTGTGTCTCATTGTGTTTGCATGTGTGTCTCATTGTGTTTGCATGTGTGTCTCATTGTGTTTGCGTGTGTGTCTCATTGTGTTTGCGTGTGTGTCTCATTGTGTTTGCGTGTGTGTCTCATTGTGTTTGCATGTGTGTCTCATTGTGTTTGCATGTGTGTCTCATTGTGTTTGCATGTGTGTCTCATTGTGTTTGCATGTGTGTCTCATTGTGTTTGCGTGTGTGTCTCATTGTGTTTGCGTGTGTGTCTCATTGTGTGTGTATGTGTGTCTCATTGTGTTTGCATGTGTGTCTCATTGTGTTTGCATGTGTGTCTCATTGTGTTTGCATGTGTGTCTCATTGTGTTTGCATGTGTGTCTCATTGTGTTTGCATGTGTGTCTCATTGTGTTTGCGTGTGTGTCTCATTGTGTTTGCGTGTGTGTCTCATTGTGTTTGCGTGTGTGTCTCATTGTGTTTGCATGTGTGTCTCATTGTGTTTGCATGTGTGTCTCATTGTGTTTGCATGTGTGTCTCATTGTGTTTGCATGTGTGTCTCATTGTGTTTGCATGTGTGTCTCATTGTGTTTGCATGTGTGTCTCATTGTGTTTGCATGTGTGTCTCATTGTGTTTGCATGTGTGTCTCATTGTGTTTGCTTGTGTGTCTCATTGTGTTTGCTTGTGTGTCTCATTGTGTTTGCTTGTGTGTATGTGTGTCTCATTGTGTTTGTGTGTGTGTCTCATTGTGTTTGCTTGTGTGTCTCCTTGTGTTTGCTTGTGTTTGCTTGTGTTTGCTTGTGTGTCTCATTGTGTTTGCTTGTGTGTCTCATTGTGTTTGCTTGTGTGTCTCATTGTGTTTGCTTGTGTGTCTCATTGTGTTTGCTTGTGTGTCTCATTGTGTTTGCTTGTGTGTCTCATTGTGTTTGCTTGTGTCTCTCATTGTGTGTGTGTGTGTGTGTCTCATTGTGTTTGCGTGTGTGTGTGTGTGTGTGTGTGTCTCATTGTGTAACATCTGCTTTGTGTAATTACCTTTTATTTGCACTTCCTGTCTCAGGATATTGGATATAAAATGAATAAGCTGCTTTTAATTGCTCTAAAGAACGCAGGAATCTGAAGAGACTGTTGTGCGTCGGTTGCATGTCTGGAGTTGATTGTATCATCGGTGCCTAGAAGCTCGGTTGTACGTCATTGCCGGGCAGGGATCTGTGTGTGTGGGCAGTGGAAGAAGTGGGCACGCCAAGGTTCTAGCTGCGAGGATAGCTTGGGGAATCTTAGTGGGCATGAGGAAACCACTTAGGCTGCCACACAACCAGTACTGCGGCCCGGGAGGCGCTCTGCGAGGGGTTTTTCATGATGATCTGCCAGTGTGCTGGAAGACCTCCAAAGAGGAGCAAAGGACGGCGATTGCCCGGCATCATCCGGCTCTTCCCGCGTCCCCAGTCCATGACAACCTCCCCCTGTGCCACATCTGACCCCCTCCTGAACATAATTCCTTCCCTGCTCAAAACATTTTTTCCATTGCAGGCTTATATGAACCCAATAGCCATGGCCCGATCCAGGGGCCCCGTAGCCTCTGGTGGACCTACCATTCAGGATTACCTGAGCCGACCAAGACCTACATGGTGAGTTGTCCTCTTGTATAGCATTACAGTTGAAGTCCAGGCAGATGTTAGAAACACACAGGTGAATACAGTTATGTATATAGTCAAATAAATCACTTGGTGTACAAAATGTAATTTCCCTGATTTCTGATTGGCTCACTGAAGTCTGCACTGAGATGTAGTTCAAATTTTAGTTATCCTCTGCAATAGGAATATTATTTTTGGTGAAATGCATAACCCCATAGGGTTTGTCTCATAAAGGGATGCAGCTTTCCTCATTAGAACACTGAGATTTGCACAGGTGGTCATAATGAAGGCTGACTCTCCGCATGTAGTCTGGATGCAATGTCTGCTGCATGTAGCTGGCATTGACGCATGTTAAATGTACTTACATTGATGTGCATTTTTTTTTTATTCACAGCAGAAGCTAATTATTATAACATGCATTTTAGAGTGTTATGCTGCGTTTAAAGTGGAGGTTCACTTTAGAATTGCTCAATGAGCTTCAAACAGCCATATAACACATGTACTGTGATCATGATTGATTCTGTCTGTGCTCCGGTTATCCGGCAATCGGCTTTAGAAACTGGCAGCGGTTACCAGACACGCCATACAAGTCATGTGTAGCTCAGTCCCCCCCTTGTGGTGTCTGTCTTTTGGTGGCACCCGGGCGCAGAGGAATTGTGTTCCAGCAGCTCACACTCGGCCATTGCAATCTCAGGATGTAAATGGCATGAGGTTGGCTGAGCGATCGGTGAGAAATTATTACATAGGATTTATATAGCGCCAACAGTTTGCACAGCACTTTACAATATAAGGAAGACATTACAATCACAATACAAGACAGTATGGTAAGGAGGACCCTGCCCCTGAGGGCTTACAATCTATAAGGGAGGGGCCAGTGATACATGAGGAGGGAGCTGTGTGGGGATGAACTGTTTGGGATGGTTCAGTGGTTAGGTTGAGGTGGGATCGGCTTACAATAATTTTAGCTATGGTGTTATCGGCCGTCCTTCCACTGAACAGAGCGGGTTGGTGGGTTTTAGTAATGACGGAGTTAATGATGCTGTGTGATGTCATGTGATGCGGTCTAATCAATAATACGACCTTTTCATGTCTCCTTCACAGGGAGGAAGTGAAAGAGCAGCTAGAGAAGAAGAAGAAAGGGTCCCGGGCGCTGGCTGAGTTTGAGGAAAAGATGAATGAAGTGCGCTTATTGTTCTTTTTCTAAACTTTGCCTTTTAATCAGCAATGAAAATCTGAATCTATACGTCTGTCTGCTACACGTCTGCGAGACACTCGTGTTTCCTAATCTGTTATCACATTTCATCTCTGAAACTGAACTCGGGCCTTCCCTTCAGTCTTGCAGAGTTGTACCGGCTCCTCTCCTGGACTGAAAGGACTTCCTGTGATTTCACTGCACACTGAGAGCTTCTCACAATGTGCATTAGAAGCCGCAGCAAGTCAGATAGAGCCCGCCTCATTTCCTGGCTGGAGGACATCCAGCATCATCTAGCCCTTTACTCCCCAGCCTGACTGTCCCTGGCCTTGTGGGTGTTCTGCTAATTGCCTGCAAACGCTCACATTCAGGTAGTGATGCACTGATACCGATACTAGTATTGGTGCCGATACCAAGTATTTGGGAGAGTACTTGTACTCGCCCAAATGCTCCCATACTTGCTTCTGATCCCGGAATTTCCGGTCAGAGATATTTCCTCTGACCAGCAGTGCCACGAGGCAACTTGGAGCCAGTTTCCAATTGACCAATCAGGAAGCCGGGTGGCACGTCATGATTCACCACCCAGCTTCCTGATTGTTCGGGAAGCCAGCTTCTTTGCTGATTGGCTGGGAAGCTGGCTTCTCGGACAATCAGCATCGAGCCAGCCAAACAACATGGAGCCGGCTTCCCAGCCAAGCCAGGCGGCATGTAATGACCCGCCTCCCAACTTCCTGCTTGGCCAGGAAGCCGGCTCGATGCTGATTGGCTGGGAAGCTGGCTTCCTGAGCAATCAAGAAGCAAGGTCACGGATAATGACACGCTGTCTGGCTTCCTGATTGCCCGGGAAGCCGGCTCCATGCTAGTGGAAGTACCGGTATCGGTACCAAAAGATAAGTATCGGTACACGATACTGAATAACCGTTATCGGTGCATCACTACATTGAGGTGTAATTGCAGCCTTACAAGTTTAAACAATTATTTTGTGTCCGAGTTGCTTTTACTGCGTCATAAATGCTTAGTAAATCTGAAGGTCTTTAGATGAGTGTTTACAAGACGAAATGCAGACTTAAGTTGTTAATTGATTTTTGGAGGGATCTGACCACTTTAAGGGCCCATCCACACTGGCATCCTGTAATCACAAAATACTGTAACGCACGCCATCGGACAATGTACCTAGTGTGTTACTGTGCGCTAGGTGCGTTGCTATTCATTTGAATGGCCTCCAACGCATTTCTTGCCTCATGTGCTGCAATAGGCAGCACCGCAATACCTTGCACGCACTACTTTTTCCACCGCAGCGCACAGTATTGCATTGCAGCACACAGTGGCCAGGAGGTGTGTTGTGTGACACTGGTGTGAATGAGCCCCAATACTGCAATCCTAATAATCCAATTCTTTTTATACTTTGCGGTGATCTTTCTAATCATTTTATATAACGCTGTTATCGCCCGTGGCGCAGTACAAACATGGAAAGTCAGACGTTCTATTTTTATATCATTTCAGAGTTGGAGGAAGGAGCTTGAAAAGCACAGGGAGAAGGTCATATCTGGCAGTGATGGATCTTCAAAGAAGAAAGAGGTACTCGAGCATTATTGTTTAACGGCCGGCCAGGAGCTTCCTGGACCTGAGCGGGCGTTTTTAAAGGTCCGTTCGTGCGTCGCACTGGAAATTGCCAAAATGTAAAAACAGGCAGTGATGCCTGTTTACATACAAGCGGACTGCCGGCTATAGAGCCGGCGGATTGCTTGCATAAGGTGCCGGCCCGTGCGCCACCTCCACGGCCCCCCTCCCGCTGGTCCTGAGCTCTGCTGTGCCCGGTGCGAGCCTGGGACCAGCATGGTGGCTCTGTGACAGGGGGTCAGAGGGAGCTTGGTACACAATCTCCCTCCGGTGCCAGAATACAGAAGTGATGTATTTGGAGCAGTTATCCAATCAGCTTCTCTCTTCAGTTTGTTCAGTTAAGATTTGAAAATGAAAGAGAGAAGCTGATTGGTTCCACCTTCTGTTTACATCTACTTCATATATTACCAACATACCCTCAGCTGACTGCTGGCACTCACCCAGTGCTGTGACTTTGTTTATATCCCTCTGCTTCATCCTCTGCTGTCTCACATTGGGGACCAATCTGAAGACACTTTGCAGGCCATCCATTAGGCCCCGTTCCCACTGCGCGATATGCAAATCGCGCGTTTGTCACGCGATTTGCATATTGCGCGACATCGCGAGATTTGCCGCGCGATGTCGCGTTCAAGCTTGCATTGAGCAAGCTTGAATCGCGGCTAAATCCGCTCCAAAAAGGGTCCTGCTGTAGCGACACACGACCCGCGACAGCAGGACCCTTTGCCCCATTGGAGCGCGATATCGCGCGGTAATTTGCCGCGATATCGCGGGAATTACCGCGCGATAAATCGCTCAATGTGAACGGGGTCTTAGGGCTCAGTCACACCATATCCAGTGCGCACTGGATCGCATAGATTAAGTCGGGCAGCGTTCTGGGGTATGAGGCAGCGTGTTGGTGCCAATCATGACTATGGCACCGCAGGCACGCCCCCCGCCCACAGTGCGATCGCTCGCACTGTAGCGCGAGGTACAGGAACGCCCTCCATTCCGGTGCATTGCGATCGGACAAAATGCTGCATTTTTTCCAATCGCATTGCACTGGAACAGAGGGAGTTCCCGTACTTCGCATTCCGGTCCGGGCAGAGGGACCCGAATGGGGTGCCATTAACATGAATAGCCCCTCCACGCGGCCTGGCTTGATCTATGCAATCCAGTGCGTTCTGGGCTCTGAACGCACTGGACATGTGTGACTTGGCCCTGAAGCCGGGTATACACGCTTTGAAATTTTGGCTGGTTGTTGATGAAGCGGCTGACATTTGATGCGTGGGCGCCACTTTCTGACCGGCATTACTCGATCAGCGGATTGGGGGAGCATGTCACAAAATGGTCAGACAAACAGTGCTATCAGTTAATTAGCTGTTGGCTGTATTCTGGTATTTTGACACCGACTGGCGGCCACTGTCAGAATACAGATGAAACAGCAGGATATTCCTCGATCAATGCTCGTATACATTGATGGCGGAATTTCTTCTTCTCACCGCACATGTCTGCTCCCTTTGTTCCTAGTAATTGTATCTGTTATTTGTAGATGATGTCACTACCTCCCCCGAGGCTGCCAGCAGTACATACTGTAACATGAAATGGCTTTCTGTTTTTATAATTTTCGTCTCACAAGTTTCACCTTTTATTGTCTCTGGTCAAGTTTTCTTCATCATCTTCTTCTGCATCATCGATTTCTACTTCTCCCAGCAGCTCAGATGAGTCGGATAACGAGGTAAGTCGGGTGTCACGTAATGCACGTTTTTCACGTCTGAGTCATTTTTGCTTATAAAGTGTATGCGAGCCCAGAAATCAAGTGAGCTCACAAGTTCCTGTAGTGAGCTGACAATGCAGCACTGAAATCTCAAATAATGTGATCAGTGCTTACAAACGGACGCATTCCACGTGGGATGTTATCAGCTCTGCCTGAGGGCTCTCTGTGGTCTACATAACACCTCCCACTATGTTATGAGGAGACGGAGGCATAGTAGTCCTGGCACACTAGCTGACCTAGGGGACAACGCTGCTTTTTCTCAGATGTATCATAAGTGAGCGTTTGCATCTTAGGACAGGAAGTGTGTTGCTGGCAGGTTTTCCAGGGAATAAGGGCCGGTGCACACCTAGGCGACACCTCACCACGCGGCAATCGTGCACGATTCCGCACGGATTGCCCGCACGGTCAGGAGTCGCCAAGGTGTGAACCGATCACGCTGTGGGTGCCATTATTTTCTAATGGCACCCCAATCACACCGGGCGGATCGCGCCGTTTCCCGCCGCGATTCCACCCGTGTTTCCGAACACGAAAAACAGCTGCGCGTCGTCTCACAAAAAAAAAGGTACATGTACCTCCTTTTTTTTTTTTCTGCGATTGCCGCACAGATGTCACCATTGAAATCAATAGGGCTGCCTGCATTGTGCAGGACCGCGCGATCCCGGATCACGTAGGTCTGCACCGGGCCTTAAAGGAAACAAATGCAGCCACTACATCTAAATACTGGTAAGCTGCGTAATATTACAGTTTAAACAGTCTCAATCTAAATCAGTAAGCTAAACCTGAGACTGTAGTCCATCATGGGAGTGAGCTTGGAGCGGTGACTACTTTACAACACACACAGGGACCATGGGGAAGAAAAGTAGCCACCCTGCAGAAGGAAGGACAGTGTCAGCACCAATTCAGAGATGATTGGAGGATCTACAGCCGAGTGAAACACAAATAAGATTCATTTATGTTAATAGTTGGGGTACTGGAATGTATTTTTGAAGTCTCCTGATTTTAGTGTCACTTTAAAGATCCAGACTAGGACAACGGGACTAGTCTAGCATCTGGTCTGTTCATCCCCAGCCCTGTTTCTGGGGGTTGCACAGCTCTCTAGGATAAAACAAAGCTTTAGTTTGGTGATTTTAGGTTTTCCAATTTGGTCAGTGGCATTTATTTCCCTATATTTCCGATGACCTGTTTATTCCTGCCTGTGGGATTTGGGAAGTGGCATTAACAAATATAGACAAATTATTATTATATGTGAGGTTTCTTCCACAATAAATGTAATGTTCTCTTTTTTTTTTTTCTTCTAAGACCAAGAAAAGACATTTGAAAAAGAAAAAGAAGAAAAAACATTCTCGCAGGTCATCGGACGACGGCTCGGATTCTGAGAGCAAGGTGAGGTGTGGTCTGTGGAGGTGTCAGTTCTTATCTACTGGCCGCTGTATGAAAATGTGCTGCAACATTATTTGGAAGGAAATCCTGGAGATATTTAGACCAAAAGTTTGTTTTAGCCTTTCAATTTCATGATGTGCGGTGCAAAGTCATTGGCAGTGAAAGTGTTGAAGCCCAGCTTCAGCTTAAAGGAGAGCTATGGGGTCAGGGCTTTTCCCCATAGTTCTTCTAAGGGTCATGGGAGGACACAAACTAGCGTCCTCCCGTCACCCAAAGCTCAGTATAATGAGACTCCGCAGCCGGAACGGATTCCCGACAATTATGTCTGAATCCACCCAGCTGCGTGATTGACAGCTGGCTCTGCCTATCTAGAGGCAAAGCCAGCTGTACCCTTCCCCGCCCGTTCCGCCAGTCAGCGCTGGAGGATCGGATAGGGGAGGGGGGAATCCAGTCCCTCCCCTGTCACGGCTCTCTGCCGGCACAGGATAGAGAAGTGAGCGAGCGCCGGTATGTGTTCGCTCACCTCCCGATCTACTGAGCCGACCTGTGACAGTCTCATTGTCACAGGTTGGCTAAAACTATGAGGCTGAGTGAAAATCATTCGCCTCATAGTTCTCCTCTTAACAAGTTTTGTTTTTAAAAAAAAAACATTCAATGCCCCCCTAACTTTTAAATTTCTGAAATACTCAACCTATCTCCGGGGCTGTTTGCCAAAGACTTACCGCTCTGCACTGTCCTCTTCAGGGTTAAATGACCTCCAGCATCATTCAATCCACTTCCTGTTAGCTCAAGGTGTCAAGAAAACGCCCCCTGGAAGACCTCTCCAATCCACTTTGTAATCATAGGAGAGCACTGCAAGGAATGACAGACTAAAAAGGAACAAAGAAAAGATCTGTATAAAAACAAAAGAGGGGGGGGGTGTGCTAAACTGAGATGTCAGGGGACCCCAACCTGTAGTTGAGGGTAAAATATAAGTACTTGATTGGCTCCGCGTTCTGCTGAAGTGCAGTCTGGCGCTTTTGCTTTGTTGTACAGGTTATGACGAATCTGTGGCAGTCATTCTTATGATATGCAAATATTGAGTATACTCCACGTTCCTGTACTTGTTATTCACGCTCTGAAACCAAGTTCTAAGTTGCCGTTTGGTTGGCTTCTTCTAATATTCCTTGTCACAAGACTCAAGGCTTTGTGACCATACATACAGGTGAAACTCGAATAATTAGAATATCGTGCAAAAGTAATTGCAGTAAGTGCTGCAAAAGGGGCCCAAGCCAAGTACTGAGTACATATGCATGCTTGTACTTTTCAGAGGTCCGATATTGTTCTATGTACAATCCTTGTTTTATTGATTGCATGTAATAATCTACTTTTTTGAGGTTGTGGATTTGGGGTTCTTGGGGTTTTCATGAGCTGTAAGCCATAATCATCACGATTATGACAAATCACGGCTTGAACTATCTTGCTTTGCATGTAATGAGTCTATCTCATATATTAGTTTCACCTTTTAAGTTGCATTAGTGAAATAAATGAACTTTGCACGATATTCTAATTATTCGAGTTTCACCTGTATGTAATACAATATAATAAGAGCGCACATGATAACTTGCAGAAGCCAGCGGCAGCTTCTACCATTCTGATGAATGTCTGTTTTGTTATTTGAAAGGATTCGGTAAAGAAGAAGAAATCCAGAGAGGAGCCGGAGAAGGACAGAGTGAGTTATAGCAACACTTTAACCTCTTACATGATATAATTTTAAATTGAAGGGGTTTATGGGAAAACTGGGGCTCCAGTGGAGCCGCTGTCTCCTCCACCATCCATCAGTTTCATTTGAAAAGCAAAATCTTTATTTCTGCAGGACGGAAAGAGTTCAGGCAGGAAGAGGAGAAGACCTGATGATGATGAAGATCACCGACACTCTTCCTATGACTCATCACGGTCAGAGTCTGAGGAGGAGGTTAGTTTGTGACAAGCGAAGAGAAAGTGATCAGAGGCAACATGAAAGGCAGCTGCAGGGAAGCCTTAGCCAGCTGTAACTAAACAGCAAAGGATATAGGCCAATAACAGTGACAAATACAAAGCAATCTGTCAGCAGCATTAAGGGCACTTTTAGTGTTTCGGAGTCCCCTGTAACATAGTTGTAATACCTGTGGATGCTGCCAGTAGGTCTGTTGTTTTTCCACTTCTGTAACAGGACAGTTCTGCAGTGTAATAACGCAGCATTGTTGTCGTAGATGAACATGTAGTTTGAAATGGAAATAGACTAAACAACAAATACATTAACCCCTTAAAGTGACGGTAAACCCTAAAAATGCATTCAAGCTACTGTTGTAAAGTAGTCGCCGCTCCAAGCTCACTCCAGTGATGGACTACAATCTCAATACAAATTAGTAAACTAAACATGAGACTGTAGTCCGTCACAGGAGTGAGCTTGGAGCGGTGACTACTTTACAACACACACAGGGACCATGGGGAAGAAAAGTAGCCCCCTCCAGAAGGAAGGACAGTGTCAGCACCAATTCAGAGATGATTTGAGGATCTACAGACGACTGATACACAAATAAGATCCATTTTTGTGAATAGTTGGGGTATTTGAATGTATTTTTAAACTTTAACTCCCGAATTCACTGTCACTTTAATGATGTAGGGAAAAACACACCTTAATGTCTGAACCCAGTTTTGCAACTTTGTGTTTTAGCTAAACTTTACATGGCTTCCTATTGTATCCAGGTGCATTAAACCTTGTTTTGTTCAGGACATATTAGGCCTTGGTTTGGTGATTAAATGTTAATGGAGATCTCGTGGCCCAAAATTATTATTTTTCAAACTGTAGGTGAATATTTTTTGCCATTAAGATGTCCTATTATCGAAAACACCCAAAATAAATTCTCCTACTCCTGACTTTCACAGCAGTACCAGATGGGCCCAGACACCATAGTCCCCTTCTTTTTTCTTTTTGTTTGCTACCGATACACACTAATACTGACCCTAATATGTAACTAGATTAAGCCCTGATTGAACTATTTTATTGATATATATATATATATATAGTGAGGAAAAAAAATATATATATAATTTTTTTTTTTTTTGCTAGTGAGAAAAAACAGATAGTGAGGGGAATTTATGAAAACTGGAGCAGTTGCCCATAGTAACTAATCAGCGTCTCTTTCATTTTCAAAGCTTAATTGAACAAACTAAAGAGAGAAGCTGATTGGGTACTATGGGCGACTGCTCCAGATTCTGCGTGCTCCAGTTTTCATAAATTCCCCCCACGGTGTATACACATGGTAGGGTGCTAAAAACTATGAACCCTGTGATTGGCTATCGCAGTGATCACATGATCAGAAGCGGATCCTCCGGCTCCTGATTGTTAGAGACGAGGAGCTGCTGGTGACAGCTCAGTTTCAAAGCAGGGGGCACACGTGAGCTGACCATCTTCAGTGATGCCGCCCATATGTTATGCCAGTGAAAAGGGGTTAAAGCCTAACTCCATATAACACTATTGCTTTGCCAAGTCAGGGCAGATGGCACACACCCCCAGTGCTTTATATTTACCAAGCCATTCTTCCCCGCTGCAGCATCCCAGACTTTGTAAGTCCCAAAGTCCCAGTGTCGGCTGATGTCAGAGCTTAGACAGGGTTGATGTAACAGCCTGGTCCATGGTGTGTGATCACATTGCATGTTTAGTTAATATTCGTGTTAAAATGTGATAGTTCTGCTGCCATCGCTTTGTCAGAAAACATGGTAGAAACGGTATATTGGTGACTTATTGTTTTTTATTTCAAGATTTATGGGAAAAGGAAGCGGAGCAGTGAGGAGAAAGCTGTAAGTGCCTTTTTGTTTTTGATGGAAGTTCTGGTGGTTTAACGGAAGGGGGAAGTGCAACAAGCTTATCCTAATGATGTATTTTAAAATGTAACATCTATGAAAACCATGATAGTACCAGAAGTATCTGTTTCCCAGTTTTGCATGTGATCGATTTGCTAATACATACCGCTGCTGTATTTACAGAATAGGGAATTGGTTTCTACCCCCCCCCCCCCCCATCTGCTGAGCGATTGATCTCTAATGACGGTGATCATTTGTTTACAATTTTAATAGCACATTTGGCTTTTAAAAATACCTCATATAGCTTTAGACTGCAGTGATGGAGAAATTACACTTTTTCTTTTTAGGTATCATGTGACAAAGTATTGTTCACTTAACACTGTTTCCCCAATCATCTTCCAGGACAGCACATAACAGGAATATTCAAATATAAAAGTGGCAGATACCCGTCGGCCTCGGTTCTTTGTGGTTTCTCGGCCTAGCAGGAACAGCTTCACCAGTAGTGGTGTTTTGGCCATCATGCTACATAGGGCCCCACCTCAGTCGAAGCCGTTACTTCAGGACAGTGGACCTGAATGCCTAAAGATAGGTGGGCAGGAGAACTTTTCTTTTGATAAACTCCTAATCTCTTTTCAGAGGTATACCTTTTGGAATTTTTTATTTAATCTAGTAGGAAAGGCAACTACTATCCCCTTAGGTTTTAGTAGACCTATTTCTTTTACATCCCTCCTTAACCCCTCCCCCCAATGGAGCTCGGAGATCGATGACATCAGACCAACAGCAGGTCACTCTCATTCATCTTGAAACATGTCCCCTTTAACAGCAGTGTTGTGCCTTCATCCATATGTTGGCTCCATTTTTGGTGCCTTTACCTGTTTCAGTGGTTCCAAGAGGGGAGCAGGTGCGGTGGCAGCAACTTCAGTAGGGTCCAGCGCAGAGATCCCTCCTCCGCAGGTGGTATCCACTCTTAAGGGTGCAGGAAGCGCTTCCACACACCTTACTATACTATGACACGCCGCCTCTAAACTCTCTCTTTGGATGAAGTGGAAAAAAGGTAAGCCTTTGCACTCTCACTTACACACTTTGTAGCAAGTTTGTGTGAAAGAAGAGAAGTCATGAAGTGACTAAAGTTGATGTCAACCCTAAATGGATGACCTGTAGATTGATGAAGCACTGTCGGTCACAAACAACTGCCATGTTTTTTTTTTTTATCTCCGTGCTGCTGATCTTCTGCACCCTCTCAGCCACTTCCTGTCTACATGCACTCACTCCAACATTGTCTGCATATCATACCTATGGAGCTTGTTCCTGATGGTGACAACGGTGGACGATGCCTGCACAATCTGTCTGCACGGCCATGTCTAGCATGTGACAGGCAGTAACGCATAACCATAACACAATGTGGCTGAACAAGGATCTTCAAAGCAGGATCACTGATTACATACTAGAGCCTTGGTTCTCAACTGGTGGGTCATGACCCAAAAGTGGGTCGCGACCCCATGTTCAGTAGGTCGCCTCGTGCCTTCCACTTTTCTAGATGAGAGGCTCCTCAGCCTCCCCCTAGCGCAGTAATGTCAGTTCTCGCGCTGAGCAGACATTCAGAATATGCTGCCCGGTGCCGAGTGTCAGCTTGAGATGCAGTGGGCTGGAGCTATGGCCAAGAGGGAGCTGGAATGCCATTTTTTCCATTGGAGTGTGACTTGGGTCACGACTTAATGACCAAGGACAAATGTGGGTCCTGAGGTTACGCAGGTTGAGAACCACTGTACTAGAGTATACCTACTAGTGTGTGTGTGTGTGTGTGTGTGTCTGTATATAAGTAACATATATGTTTCCCTGATTTACAGGAAAAGACCAAAAAGAAGAAAAAGCACAAGAAACACAGCAAGAAAAAGAAAAAGAAGTCTGTCACCTCCAGTTCTGATTCTGAATGACAAAGCCACGTAATCGCCCCCCCACACACCATGTGCAATGACTTCACTCAGAAGCTGTGAACAGCTGCAATCCACACTCATCTCTTATCACATTTTCTCTTCTATAATGCACAGATGTCCAGAGTGCAGAGGGACTTAAAGGGAAAGCTCCCACCAACATACATCTGTGTCATCTCATATCCAGGAATCATACTGGCAGGTCTGGTTCTCTATTCCACTAAGGGGTGTAACCATACCACAGGTAATCTATACAGGTAGTTCCATCACCATTACATGTCATGTATTTGTTGCTTCACAACGCAGGCAGTTATTTTATTTTTTCCTCTGACCTCAGCACCCATGCTCAACATAATCGGCACTTCTAGGAACGGAGCTTGGTTGGCTAACATCCATCCAGTCTGATGCAAAGCATCAGTTTCTTTATCCACAATAGAGGGACTCAGGAAGTAATTCACCTTTGGGTTATACTGCTGTCTACAGGAGGATTGGACACTGACAAACAGGACCAGACCAGGACGGCCCCTTTCACTGCCAGCATGCCTCAGTTTTTATTTGTTCTAGTGTCCTAAAAGGATGGACATCTTTTCTTCAGCTCTGATGATAAAAGACTGACTGACTTATTTTTCTCTTGTTAGCACTTTTTTCCCTAATTTTTTCACATGTTTTGTTTCTACCAGGTGGATGTTTCTGCCGCATCTGATGCCAACTTTGGGAGTAAGGTCATGCAGGCAGTACCCACGTACTGTTTTCTTGGGCATGTTAGCATTTGTTTGCTATGTTGCCCACCCCTCGGTTGTACTGCTTTTGAACTTCCCAAAGATGAAAAGCTTCCTGTGTACTTCAGTGGATGAGAAAGTAAAAAAAGGATTTTTGTACTCCTTTTCTTGGCATCTATGAAAGGACCCAGGTCCCTCGCCTCTCTGTTTATGTTCATACTGTTGGTACTGCTTTGCCACAGAACGGAGGAATGCTGGTAGTAAGAGGGGTGTTACCCTGAGCTGGTCTACCGTTTTGTTTGCCAGTGTCCAATTCTCCTGTAGGCGGCATTACAACCTGAACTTGACTGACTTCCTGTGTCCCTCCAAAAGGATTTTCATGTGAGTACAAAAATCCTATATTCTATTTATGGTTGAACTACCGGAGTTTGTCATCTGAGGATGCTGGTCAGTCCACAGAACAGTTGCCTTGGTTTTGTTTTAAAGAAAGACTGTTATTTTCCCATTCAGGGTGAAAGTGACCATGTCCGTGCTAAGGGCTCACGCCATCCCCTGACCCACCGATACTCCCTTTGCCAGCAACACTTCATCTGCTGCCTTACCCAGCAACAGTACCCATTCCTTTGGGTTTAGAATGACCTCCTTCCATGTGAAAGTGCTCAGGTCTAGTAGCCAATTGCTTGGCCCAAACATTGTCGCATAACTTAAAGTAGTGACATCACCGTTCCCCTTTAGTGTCTGAGACTGCATGTATTAGAGTCCGCTGTGACGGAGAAGGTAGTCTCGAGGGAGCGTTGGCAAGCCAAGCATAAGTTGTTCGGGGGGGGGGTTCTTTGCACAGACACTGGGGGAAGGCTATAAAGTCGAGTAACTTATAGCCTTCCATTCCTTATCTTCAGCTGGAGAGCTGTGTCAAATCTGAGCCCTAATCTGGAATTTCCATCCTGGGGCAAGCGGTACGTTAGGAGAGGTGCTGCCACAGAGACAGATTCAGTTCTACGAGTACCTGAGTCAGCTCCTTCTTTAATAATAACCGCCCTTGTCTCAGAACGGTTCATTTCAGGTGAAGGCTTAGACTTCAGATAAGGGCTCAGACCTCAGATAGCCCGCAACCCTTTTTAGAAGTTACTGGACTGAGATTGTTGAATATTGAATTTCATTTTTTTCCTGGAGATCTTCTTTAGGTGACAAATGCTAAATCAGCCGATGAACTGCCATCTTGGAGGACACATTTCCCTTATAAGCAAAAACTGAATTTTTCTCATTTTAAGATTTAATTCCTGACACACGTATATCATCGAAAAGAGTTTTTGTTGTTTTTAAGAAAGCAATAATTACCGATTTATTTTCGGGTATTCAGCTTGTCCTCGGGTACACAGCCTGTAAGACTGCAGATAGTTATAGACTCCGGGCAGGGAGACCGTGCTGACTTCTTATGTTAAAGAGAACCAGTCACAGTTAAAGTATATATGACCTGGTGCTCTGTGCTGCCACTTTGTTCCCTCCTCTGCCTGGGTGGGTAATACACAGCAACTCCACAGTATATAAAAATGTACTCTATAAGAGTGATATTGAGGATAGCCGATATCAAGCGCTGAGTCGCATTCACTTGTTAGTCAGCCGCTACCTCCAGAGCAACCCAAAGTCCTCCTACAAATGCAGACTGGTGTTTACACCTCACAATGTGACACCGCGCATGCCCTGTGATTGGTCAATCAGAATTTGAGCGCTTCAATTTTGGTGGTGGAGCTGCCCTCTGTTCCCTCAGAGCCTGGGCAGTTGTGGGATTGCGGCAGCAATGTCAGTCCTGGTTCACTCATGGTCGGCCCGGGATCGTGCGTATGTCTGCAAGTGTGCCGTTGCCGCGCAGCCCCATTGATTTCAGCAGGGTCATATCCACGCAGCAAAAAGGCTCCTGCACTTTTTTGCGCAACGAGTGACCCACTGTTTTTTGCGGCCACTTTTGCTCCCACGGAAACACAAGGAAAAAAAAAGCAGATTGGTGGCCGCGTTTGGGGAGCCATTAGAAATGAATGGCACCACAAGCAGGGGTCGTGTTTTTGTGCGCGTTTCCGCAACCATGCAGCAAAAGTGCACAAAACCGTGCGCATCGCCCCGTGATCTTTGATCTCTCAGATGTGAACCGGGCCTTAGAGCAGTTCTTGTTATGATCTGCCATTTTCTGGTGCCTATTATCCATTG